AGCCCCACACACACTCGTGTGTCTGAGTGGGGGCACAGGAGGGCTCCAGTGGGCCGGACAGGGTCTAGGTCTCCTCCCTGTCCTCCTCCTCCTCCTCCTCCCCCCACTGGCTCCGCACGTTGCGGTTCTGCTGGCAGCTGAACTTCTGGGCCTTGCGGCTGTGGGGCGGAGAGAGAGCCGGGGTGAGCGAGGGGCCGGGCCGCCAGCACCGGCCCGCCGGACAGACGCGCGCAGACTGACCAGTAGAGGCGCCTCTCCGCCTTGGCCATGCCGTGCCACATACGCGCCAGCTCCTTGGTGGCCACGGTGGAGGGGGTCCCGGGGTGAGCTCTGGGGGGACACACGCAGGCCGGGTCAGCAAGGCGGCAGGCGGGAAGGAGCCGGAGGGCTGGCCCACCTGCGCACACTCACACACACCCGCGCACAATCACGTGCACACCCGCGCACAATCACGCACACACCCTTGCACACCCGTGCACACTCACCGCATGTAGGACTTCCTGTTGAGGCGGCAGAACATGATGAAGCCGTTGACGCACTTCCTCTTCAGGTGGCGCAGCTCGCCCGGCGCCCCCCTGTGCCTGTGCTGGCCCCGGCCTCCGCGGCCGCCCTGCGCCGGGCCTCTCTGGGACGGGGTCCAGGTAAGATCTGCGCCTTCCTCCTCCTCCTCGCTCTGGGAGGACAGCCAGCCACCGACCCCCGTCGCCTCGCCGCTGTCCTGCACCTGGGACACAGGGCCAGGGAGAAGGCCTGGAATCACACGGTAGCAGCTCGGGCTGGGCTTCCTGCTGCTGCCCCTGTCCGGAGTCCAGGGCGTCACATCTGCAGCTCTCTGGACCCTGGACACTGTCCACGGCTCGAGCCCCAGACGCCCACCAGCCCTGTGCTCCTGCCCAGGGAACAGACTCCCCCTCCCCCCCAGACCGGGGGGCCGTACCAAGTCCCTGCTGGGGTCTCCAGTTCGCATGGGCGGCTCCGAGCTGATCCACACGTCTTCGAACAGAGCTGTGGACAAGATGAACACAGACAGGAGACGAGTGAGTGAGCCTGTCTGTCCGTGTGTCTCTATGTGTGTCTGCATGTCAGTTTGT